GGGCTGTATGTCTCTCTTGGGGTTCCGTAGGTACGAGGGGGCGGGACAAGGGGGTGTTTTGTGGGAGGGGAGGGAGCGGGCGGGGCTAAGGTCCATCCCCCCGCCCCACCCCGCCCCATCGCTTCTCAGGCGTTGGCCTGCGGCCCAGAGGCTTCCAGTGACTAGAGCGCGGTGTCTGTGGCGACACCTGTCCTGGGGCGGTAATGGAGGGACCTGCGGTTCGGCTGCTGCGCTGCAGCGCGCTGGTGAGTGCGTTCGCGGAGGGCATCCTGGGCGTGCCGGACGACCTTGGCCCCGGCGGAGGAGTCTTTTCTTAACGAGACCCGGGCGTCCGCTCCACATCCCGGCCGGCGCTTACTTCCCTCCGTCGGACCGCTCTTAGACCCTTCACCGTGGGCAGGCCACGACCCCGACCTGTCTACAGGTCTCTGGCCTAACCGGCCTTAGTTTCTGTATGGAGGCCTGGGAGTGGCGTGGCAGCTGGTGAGCAGGGAGCTGGGGGCTGGTCTAGAAGCTTTTTTGGTGGAGCAGTCAGTCACCTTCCGTGCAGAGCCACAGCTGCAAAATACCCTTTACAGGCCATTGGGCTCTAGGAGCCACCGAGTCTCGAATCTGGAGGCATTTTGTAGCGAGAGATGTCACCTCTCCCATACTGTCTTTCCCCAATGATTACATTTCACCGCCCAGCCGCCCCCCAAAAGATTGTTAAAACAGTCTTACTCTGCGCAGTGTTTCCCTGGCCTCCCTTTTGCGACCCTTCTCCGAAGTTAGGAAGGGACCTCGGAGTTGGTAGGACTTAGCCGCGGGAAAGAGGGTTTCCTCTGCGCCTGATCTCATGGCTGGGATTTGAGCATCTTGCGTGGACAGGCTCACCACGGCACAGGGGAACCCATTCCTATTCCACTTCCTAGAACTTGAACTGAAACCTGCCTGTCAGAAATGTCCAGAAGTTGTACTTAGTTTTGCTCTACTTGCCTACGCAACCTGTTGATTCTTGGCCAGCTCTTGAGTCAGGTTTTCATTACATCGAACATTCAGAATCCCGTGCCCTTTCTAGAACTCCACAGACTTGGATACACTCCCATTTGTTGATACACTTTGTTGGGAACTTTCCCACTGCCGGCTGTTTGCTTTTTATATTTCCTGACATTTGCCTTTAATGAGTTAAAGGTTTGCAGCTGCTTCAGTCTGATGCCCAGAGGCAGGGCTCTTTTTGTTTTATTAGAGATAATTAATGTTATTTGGTTGTTGTACAAGCTTGGGGTATTAAGGGAACTTATAAAATCATAATAGTGTATTAGCCCAAAGAAATAGATTTTTATGGTTACTGCTTAACACTATTTCATAATGGCTGTGTAAGATTTAGCAAAGTTCACCGCATTTCACAATTTGAGTCTTTGCTTTTAGAGCCAGCATTTATTCACCACACACTGTATGGCAGGTGTGATCCTTTTGCTCTACTGTACCATCTCCTTTAAGTCTCACAGCCATCGTAAAAAGTAGTTTAATCTTTCAGATGCAGAGGCTGATGCTGAAAAAGATGAAGTGACTTACTCCAAGTCACTTGCCTAGAAAGTGATAGAGCTGGTGTTCTAACTCTGGTCTGAGTCTAAAACGTAACGTTTATGCACTACTGCCTCCCCTTCCTCAGAGATCTCGGAGACCTATTTTGTTTGGATTTGTTGGTTTTATTATGGCTTTCCATCCTGCAAGTAATTTTTAGAGCTCTTTTACATAAGTTAACAAATGAGATCCACAGAATGTTGCCTGTAGCATGGTGATTTAGAACGTGGGTTCTGTAGACGATTGCTCGGGTTTGATCCCAGGCTCTGACTCTTCCTAGTCTTACACTCTTAGGCTGGTTACTTAACCACTTTGGGTCTCAGTTTCTTGATCTGTAAAATGGGGAGAATAAGAACATCTATACCACAGGGTTGTTGTGAGGATTAAATTAATTCATATATACGTGTGAGGCACTTAAAAATAGTGCCCAGCATAGACTCAGCTGTCATGAAGTATTAGCTTATTATTGCTGTGCCTGAGGTATTGCCAACGCTAAATAAATAGCTTGGACAGATGCTCTTATATAGGAGGTGGGGTTTGAACTGAGTGTCAACAGAAGGAATGGCTTAGGTTGAGGTAAAGCAGCAGAGGGGTGTAGATTCCAGGCGAAGAGATGTGTGAGCAAAGGTATAGAGTTAGGAATATACGCTGCTTGTTTTAGGAATATTTATGCCGGGATAGCTGATGAGGTGAGTTTGCAGAGGCATGGAAGGAATACAATTGGCAAGACCTTAGGTCTTTGCTTTTTCCTGTAGCAGTGAGTGTAGCCCAAACAGAGTTGCCCACAGTCACGGATAAGAGCCCTTTTTGTTTACTAAAACACAAGCATTTATAACACTTTTGTTACCAAGCCCCTTGCAGATTCTTGAACAGGAGTACTGTAGAAAGTGTCCACAAGACACTTGAGCAAGCAAAGCTTTTTATTAAAAGAGATACCTTGTGCACAAGGAAGAAGGCGGGGTGGGGTGGGGAGTGCCAGCTCTCCAAGAAGAAGGGGTGAGTTGCTTTTATAACAAAAGGACCAAAGGGTTTGTCTCAGCATCACTGATCATTTCTAGATATCATCAAACTTTGATCAGC